AGGGTTCCTTTTTCTTCACATCCTCACCAGCACTTCGTTATTTGTTGATTTGTTGATGATAGCCTTTCTGACAGGTGTGAGATGGTACCGCATTGTCATTTTGATTAGTGACTTTGAGCATGTTTTCATATGTCTCTCTGCCTCTGTATGTCCTCTTTCAAAAAGTGTCTATTTAGGTCCATATTTTTATTGGATTCTTTATCTTCTATTTGTCAAGTTGCATGAGTTCCCTGTAAATATTGGAGATTAAATCCTTATTGATGATAACACTGGCAAATATGTTCTCCCATGCAGTGGGCTTTCTTGTTTTGTTGATGGTTTCTTTTGTTGTGCAGAAGCTTTTTATTTTGATGTAGTCCCATTTGTTTATTTTATCCTTAGTTTCTTTTGCCCTAGGAGCTGTATCAGTAAAGATATTGCTATGAGATATATTGGATATTTTGCTTCCTATGGAGTCTTCTAAGTTTTTATGGTTTCCTATCTTACATTTAAGTCCTTTAACCATTTTGAGTTTGTTTGTGTATATGGTGTAAGTTGGTGATCCAGTTTCATTTTTTTGCATGTATCTGACCAAATTTCCCAGCACCATTTATTGAAGAGACTGTCATGACTCCATTTTATGTGCTTGCCTCCTTTGCAAAATATTAATTGAGCATAATGGCTTGGGTGTATTTCTGGGTCTCTGTTCTGATCAATTGGTTTATATGTATGTTCTTGTGCCAGAACCAGGCAATTTTGAGAACAGTGGCTTTGTAATATAGCTTGATATCTTGTATTGTGATTCCTTTAACTTTGGTCTTCTTTCTCTGGATTGCAGTGGGTATTTGGGGTCTTTTTTTATTCCAGATGAATTTTTGGAGAGTTTGTTATAGGTCTGTGAAATATGCCATTGGCATTTTAGTGGGGAGTGCTTTGTATCTATACATTGCTTTGGGTAGTATGGACATTTTAATGATGTTGATTCTATGAATCCATGAACACAGTATATTCTTCCATGTGTTTATGTCTTCCTCTATCTCTTATTTCAATGTCTTGTAGTTTTCAGATAACATCTCTTTTCCCTCCTTAGTTAAGTTTATTCCTTGGTATCTTAATTTTTTTGTTGCAATGGTAAATTGGATTTTTTTAGTTTTCTTTCTGTGAGTTCATTATTGGTGTATAAAAAAGCCATAGATTTTTGGGTGTTAAGTTTGTATCCTGCTACATTGCCAAATTCATTTATTAAGTCTAGCAGTTTTTCAATGGAGTCTTTGGAGTTTTCTATGTACAGTATCATGTCATCTGTGAATAAGGACAGTTATATTTCTTCTTTTCCAATTTGGATGCCTGTTATTTCTTCTTCTTGTCTGATCACTTTGGCTTACACTTCCAATACTATGTCAGACAGGATTAGTGAAAGTGGACATCCCTGTCTTGTTCCTGTTCTTAGGGGAAATGGTTTTAGTTTTTGCCAACCCTGGTGTCACTTTCACACCAACATTTTGAAACTAAACAGTTAATGTGAATGTACCTTAACACTCGCAGTTTGATATTTTAATCTAGAGGTTCATTAATCTTGTTTATCCATTCAAAGAACCAGCTCTTGGTTTTATTGATATTTTGTATTGTTGTTTTGTTGTTGTTGTTGTTGTTTTTGTTTTGTTTTTTGGTCTCTGTGTCACTTATTTCCTCTCTGATCTTTATTATTTTCTTCCTTCTGCTTACTCTGGGATTTTCTTGTTGCTCTCTTTCTAATTCTTTGAGATGGAGGGTTAGATAATTTAGCACTATTTTTTCTTTTCTTTTCTTTTCTTTTTTTTTTAGGTAGGCCTGTAGAGCTATGAACTTCCCTCTACAGACTGTTTTCACTGTGTCCCATAGGTTTTGGATTGTTTTCTTTTCATTGTCATTGGTTTCCAGGATAGTTTCTATTTCTTCTTTGATCTCTTTGGTAACCCACTGACTGTTTAATAGCATGCTATTTAGCCTCCAGGTGTTTTTTTTTTCATTGTATTTATTGTAGTTGATTTCTAATTTTATGACATTGTGGTCTGAGAAGATGCTTGATATGATTTCTAATTGTTTGAATTTGGAGAGACTTTTCCTCTGTCTTATTATGTGGTCTATCTTTGAAAATGACCCATGTGCACTTGAGAAGAATGTATATTCTGTAGCTTTGGGGTGAAATATTCTGAAGATGTCAATTAAGTCCATCTGATGTAGTGAGTCATTTAGTATTGATGTTTCTTGGCTGATTTTTGTTTAGAAGATTTATCCAGTGGTGTCAATGGGGTATTAAAATCTCCTACTATGACTGTGTTGCTTTCGATCTCTCCCTTGATAATCTTCCAGAAGTTTTTTGTTTTTATGTATTTGGGTGCTCCTGTATTGGGTGCCTATATGTTTACCAGAGTTATATCCTCATATTGAATTACTCCCTTTAGTATTGTAAGGTGGCCTTCCTTATAGATTCTTTTTTCTTCCTATACTAGTTATTTTAGCTTCCTTCTTGCTTCCATATTGACATTTTTTCCTATTTTTCTTTCTCACTTCTTCTTTAAAACCCCTCTAAATCTTTGATGTCATGTCTTTTAGTATTCTTTTCATTCTTTGCTTTCTTTTTCTTTTTTATGCTTTCCTGTTTTTATTGCTTTACATAGCTTGATTTTTATGGTGTTTTTGTTTTGTTCCTGTTGTGTCTTGTTCTGTTCTGTCAGCACCTGCATAATCCTGGCATGATAAGGTTATGGGTTAAGCCTCACTGTCAGTGAGTCAAAGGGGAGATCCCTCCTATGAAAGAGACATTAGCAATCAAGCCCCTATTATAACAGGAGAGCCCAAATAATGCATCCAAGGGACATTCCTAGAGCATCCAGCTCAGGATATCAAAGAAACTGCACCACTGGACCCCTCAACATATTTTCAACATAAGGCCATCTCACAAAGGCTAGGAGTCATAACAATTCTATCTAATACATGGAAACAAAAACAAAAAGGGAGCTAAAATAGGGAGACAAAGAAAAACCCCCAAATGAAAGAAAGGGGGAACTCTCCAGACAAAGAACTAAATGAAATTTAGGCAAGCAACTTATAAGACATAGAATTCAAAGTAATGGTTATAAATATGCTTAAGAAATTTAGTGCAAATTACAATGTACTTAGTGGGAACTACAGCAGCATGAAAAGGGAAATAGAAACCTAGAACCATACAAAAATGAAGAATAACATATCTGACATCAAGAATGAGAAGGAATTAAAATTAGATTGGATAAAGCAGATGATCCAATCAGCAATTTGAAGACAAGGTATAAAGCAATACCCAATTAGAGCAATAAAATAGAAAAATAATTAAAAAGCAGAAAGATGGCTTAAGGGAGCTCTGGGACAACTTGAAACATAACATCTGCCTCATAGGAATAACAGAAGGGGAAGAATGTGAGCAAGGAACAGAGAACATTTTTAAAGAAATAATGATATAAAACTTCCCCAACTTAGTGAAGGAAAAAGTCATACCAGTACAGGAGGCACAGAAAGTCCAATCAAAATGAACCCAAAAAGAACCACACCTGTCTAGACACATCATAATCAAAATGGCAAACATTAGAGAAAAAGAAAGTATCTTAAAGGCAGCAAGAGACATAAAATTACCTGCAAAGGCGTTCCCACTAGAATGTCAGCTGACTTCTCAATAGAAACACTTCAGGTCAGAAAGCAGGGGCATAAAGTATTGAAAGTAATGAAAAACAAGGCCCTAAATCCAAGACTATTGTATCCATTAAGACTATCATTGAAAATTGAAGGCAAAATAAAAACCTTTCCAGACAAAAAAAGGTTAAAGTAGTACATTACCGCCAAAAAAGCAATGCAAGAAATCTTAAACACATTGCGGATGGGTCACGAGAATTCTCACTTCATATTACACAGTGTTTTACAAAGTATCATACTTTAAAAAGATATTAGCTTGTAATAACATGTAATAAATAACTTCAAAATGAAATGGGTATTTAATTCTAAAGAGTGCCTTTAACATTTATGTAAAACATTTTTTGTACTCGTTCAATAGAAACTTATCTGGCTACTGGGTAAAGCTAGCAATAAAACTCCTGATCCACAGTGTGTTAAAGGAATTTTATTTAAGAAGAGGAAGAAGAAGAGAGAGAGAGAAATCATAGGTATAATGAACATAAAAATGGCAATAATAAATACCTATCAATAATAACCTTAAGTGTAAGTAGATTAAATGCTCCAGCCAAAAGACTTAAGATGGCAGAATGGATAAGAAAATGTGACCCATATATAAGGTGTCTACAAAAGATACACCTCAGAGCAAAAGATGCACAGAGATTGAGAGAAAAGGGTTGGCAAAATATTCCATTCAAATAATAAAGAAAAAAAGCTGGAGTTGCAATACTTATATCTGACAAAATAGACTTCAAAATAAAGGCCATAACAAGAGACAAAGAAGGCAACTACATAACACTAAAGGAAATGATTCAATAAGAAAATATAACCCCTGTAAACATATATGCACCCAATATAGGAACATCAAAATATACATTTTTTAAAAAATTCTTGATAGACTTTAAGGGAGAGATCAACAGTAGGACTTATCCCAGGGATACAGTCATGGTAGGGGATATTAACATCCCACTGACATCACTGGATAGATCTTCCAGACCAAAATTCAACAAGGAAACAGAGGCCTTAAATGATACACTAAATCAGATGGATTCTAGCTGATATTTCCAAAATATTTCACCTCAAATCAACAGAATACACATAATTCTCAAGTGCACATGGAACATTCTCAAAGATAGACCAGATGTTAGGACACAAAATAAGTCTATACAAATTTGAGAAGATTGAAATCTTACCAACCTTCTTCTCAGATCACAGTTAGAAATTCATGAAATTATAACTACAATAAAAAACTCAAAATCACTCAAATATATGAAGGCTAAATAGCATGTTATTAAACAATGAATGGGTTACCAATGAGATCAAGCAAGAAATTAGGAACTGTCCTCACTTTGGCAGCACATATACTAAAATTGAAATGGTAGAGAGATGATTAGCATGGCCCCTGCGCAAGGATGACATGCAACTTTGTGAAGTGTTTCATATATTTTTTTTTTTATGGAGGAAATTGAAGCAGTCATCAAAAAGCTTCCAACAAACAAAAGCCTGGGAGTTTTACTAAACATTCAAGGAAGAACTAAAACTTATCCTCCTCAGACTATTCCAAAAAATGCAAGAGGAAGGAACACTTCCGAGCTCATTTTTTGAAGCCAGCATTACCCTAATACTAAAGCCAGATAAAGACAACACAATGAAAGAGAATTACAGGCCAATATCCCTCATGAACATAGATGCCAAAATCCTCAACAAAATTCCAGCAAATCAGATCCAGCATTACATCAAAAAGATCATACACCATGAGCAAGTAGGACTTATCCCAGGGATGCAAGGATGGTACAATATCCGCAAATCAATAAATGTGATACATCAAATAAACAAATTGAGAGATAAAAATCACATAGTCATATCAATTAATGCAGAAAAAGCACTTCACAAAATCCAACACTATTTCTTGATAAAAACCCCCAGCAAAATGGGAAAAGAGGGATCATATCTCAACATAATAAAGCAGTAATACAAACCTACAGCCAACATCATACTCAATGGGTAAAAACTAAAACCATTTCACTTAAAAACAGGAATAAGACAAGAATGCGTACTTTCACCACTCCTGTTCTACATAGTACTGGAAGTGCTAGGCATAGCAATTAGAAAAGAAGAAGTTAAAGGTATCCAAATTGGAAAAGAAAATGTAAAACTGTCATTATTCACAGATGACATGATACTATACATAGAAAACCCTAAAAACTCCATCAGAAAATTATTAGGCTTAATAAATGAATTTGGCAATGTAGCAGGATACAAAATTAATGGCAAGAAATCTATGGCATTTTTATACACCAATAGTGAATTTACAGAAAGAGATTAAAAAAAAAATTCCATTTATCTTCACACCAAAAAAAAATTAAGATAACTAGGAATAAACTTAACTAAGGAGGTAAAAGAACCATACTCAGAAAACTACAGGACAATGAAAAAAAGAGATAAAGGAAGACATAAACGGATGGAAGAATAGACCATGTTCATGGATTGGTAGAATCAACATCATTAAAATGCCCATACTACCCAAAGCAATCTATAGATTCAATGCACTCCCCATTAAAATACCAATGGCATATTTCACAGACCTAGAATGAACTCTCCAAAATTCATCTGGAATAAAAAAAAAGACCAGCATTACCTGGTCACTTAAAAACCATTTCACTTAAAAACTGTAGTTATAAATAGCTGCAGCAATCCTGAGAAAGAAGAATAAAGTAGTAGGGATCTAAATACCAGATATCAAGCTGTGTTACAAAGCTACTGTTGTCAAAACTGCCTGGTACTGTCACAAGAACAGACATATAGATCAGTGGAATAAAATAGAGAGCCCAGAAATCGACCCAAACCACTATGCTCAATTAATATTTGACAAAGGAGGCAAAACATACAATGGAGACAAGATGGTCTATTCAATATATGGTGTTGGGAAAATTGGACAGATACATGCAAAAAAAAAAATGAAAATAGACCACCAACTTACACCATTCATAAAAATAAACTTAAAATGGATAAAGGACTTAAACATAATATAGGAAACCATAAAAATATTAGAGGCATCCACAGGCAGCAAAATCTCAGACATATGCCAAAGCAATATGTTCACCAGCACAGCTCCTAGGGCAATGGAAACTAAAGATAAAATAAACAAATGGGACTACATCAAAATAAAAAGCTTCTGTACAGCAAGAGAACCCATCAAAAAACAACAAGAAAGCCCAGCGCATGGGAGAACATGTTTGCCAATGTTATCACCGATAAGGGTTTAATCTCCAACATTTACAGGGAACTCATACAACTTAACAGAAGGAAGATAAACAATCCAATAAAAAAGGCAACTAATTTAAATAGATACTTTTAGAAAGAGGACATATGGAAGGCCAAGAGACATATAAAAACATGCTCAAAGTCACTAATCATCCAAGAGATACAAATAAAAATGACAATGCGGAACCATCTCACACCTGTCAGAATGGCTATCATCAACAAATCAACAAATGAAAAGTTCTGGTGAGAATGTGGAAAAAAGAGAACCCTCGTACACTACTTGTGGGAATGCAGAGTGGTGCAGCCACTGTGGAGAATAGTATGGAATTTCCTCAAAAAACTAAAAATGGAACTTCCATTTTACCAAGTGATCTCACTTCTAGAAATATACCCAAGAAACTAGAAATGCCAATCAGAAAGGATATATGCACCCCTATGTTCATAGCAGCACAGTTCACCATAGCTAAGATTGGGAAACAGCCTAAGTTCCCATCAGCAGATGAGTGGATTAGAAATCAGTGGTACATCTACACAATGGAATACTATGCTGCGGTAAAAAAAAAAAAAAAAAAAGGAATTCTTATCATTTGCAACAGCATGGATGGAATTGGAGAACATTATGGTAAGTGAAATAAGCCAATAAGAGAAAGATAAATATCACATGATTTTACTCATTTGTGGAATATAATGAGCAACATAAACTGATGAACAAAAACAGATCCAGAGACAGAGAAGCATCGATCAGACCATCAAACCTCAGAGGGAAGGGGAGAGTGGGGTAAGGGGGAGAGATCAACCAAAGGACTTGTATGTATGCATATAAGCCTAACAAATGGACACAGACACCAGGGTGGTGAGGGCATGATTGGGGGGTTCTGGGGTCAATGGGGGGATAAGGACACATCTAATTCCTTAATCAATAAAAAAAGAAATTAAAAACTTCTTGGAAATCAACACACAACCACCAAAAACCGACGGGAGACAGTAAAAGCAGTCCTGAGAGGGAAGTTCATAGCCTTACAAGGCCTACTTAAGAAACAATAAAAGGCACTAACAAACTCTCTAACCCTATAACTAAATGAATTAGAAAGAGAATAGCAAGAAAAGCCCAGAGGAAGCAGAAGAAGGGAAATTATAAAGATCACAGAAGAAATAAATGACAGAGAGTCTAAAAGAAAGTGCACTATGAAATATTAATGAATCCAAGAGGCACTATAACAATGGACACCACAGAAATGCAAGGACTCTAAGCAAATATTATGAACAACTTTATACCCACAAATTGGACAACCTGGGTGAAATGGACAAATTCCTAGAAACATGTAATCTTCCAAAACTCAGTCGGGAAGAATCAGAAAACCTGAGTAGGCCAATAACAACTGATGAAATTAAAGCAATAATTAAAAAACTACCAGCAAACAAAAGTACTGGACTGGATGGATTTACAAAAGCATTTACCAAATATTCAAAGAAGAACTAACACATATCTCTTCAAACTATTCCAAAAGATTCAAGAGAAGGAACACTTACAAGCTCTTTTTACAAAGCCAATATTATCCTAATTCCAGAACCAGATAAAGATACTATAAAAAAGAAAATTACAGACTAATACCCCTGATGAACACATAAGCTATAATCCTCAACAAAATGTTAGCAAATCACATCCAGCAATATATTAAATATATCATACACCATGATTTAGTGAGATTTATTCTGGGGATGCAAAACTAATATAATATTTGCAAATCAATAAATGTGATACATCACATAAACAAAATAAATGATTAAAATCACATGATCAATAGATGCAAAAAAGCATTAGACAAAACCCAGCACCCATGTTTTTTATAACAACTCACAGTAGTAAAGTGGAAATAGAGGGATTATACCTCAACATCATAAAGGCCATATATGACAAACCACAGCCAACATCATACTAAATGGGCAAAAACTAAAACCATTTTCCCTAAGAACAGGAACAAGACAGGGATGTCTGCTTTCACCACTCTCATTCAACATACCACTGGAAGTCCTAGGTACAGCAATCAAACAAGAAGAAGAGATAGAAAGCTTCCAAATTAGAAAGGAAGAAATAAAACTTATTATTCACAGATGACATGATAAAGTACATAGAAAATCCTAAAACTATTAAGCCTAATAAATGAATTCAGCAAGATAGCAGGATACAAAAGCAACATCCACAAATTGATGGCATTTTTATATACCAATAATGAACTCTTAGAAAGAGAAACTAAAAAAACAATCCCATTTACCATTTCAGCAAAAATAAAAATATATCTAGAAATCAACTTAACCAAGGAGGTAAAAGACTTGTACTTGAAAAACTATAGGTCATTGTAAAAGAAATAGAGGAAAATACAAATAAATGGAAGCCTATACCATGTTCATGGATTGGAAGAATTAGCATCATTAAAATTTCCATACTACCCCAAGCAATCTATAAATTCAATGTAATCCCTATTAAAATACCAAAGGCATACTTCACAGAACAAGAACAAATACTAAAGCATTTATATGGAAGCATAAAAGACCCTGAATAGCTGCAGCAATTTTGAGAAGAAAAAATTTGGAGAGATCACAATACCAGACATCAAAATATACTACAGAGATAATCAAAATAACCTGTATTGGCACAGGAACAGGCATATACTAGTAGAACAATGAAACAAAACAGAGACCCCAAACATTGACCCACACCATTAATATTTGACAAAGGAGACAAGAACATACAATGGAGTAAAGACAGTCTCTTCAACAAATGGTATTAGAAAAATTGGACAGACATGCAAAAATATGAAACTAGACCACCAACTTACAGCATACACAAAAACAAACTCAAAACGGTTAAAGGACTTAAATTTAAGACAGGAAATAATAAAAATCTTAGAAGACTTGATAGGCAGCAAAATAACCGATATATCTCATAGCAATGTCTTTACTGATACAGCACCTAGGGCAAAGGAAACTAAGGAGAAAATATACAGATGGGACTACATCAAAATAAAAAGCTTCTGAACAGCAAAAGAAACCATCAGCAAAATGAAAAGGGGTCCCACTGTATGGGAGAACATATTTGGCAATTATACATCTGACAAAGGGTTAATATCCAAAATATAAGGAATTCATATAACTTAATAAAAAGAAGACAAACAATCCAATAAA